CCAGGTACTTCTGTGAGTATGGATCCCATATTGAGGTACATTAACATTCCTTACAGCTATAACAATTATTCATACAATCAGGATAAAGCTGATCACTTCCATTATGAATATCATAAAATAAGAAATTAGTGGAAAATGACAACCAGTAAAATACATATATTTAAAAATGACTGATGCAATTAAGACAAGGAATGAGCTATTCCTGCAGTTGCATAATGGGATGAGCGTATAGGGAAACTGACAGGTGGACTGAATGCAAATGATATGAACAAAAGCCATCGGCTATTCCTGGACTTATTCTGCATTTCTTTTGTCACAGTCTACCTCATAGTGAACATGTTGAGGAAGGCTGTTTAAGAAGAATGGCAGGTCAGCTTTCAGATACATTTTTTGTTCAGATTTAACACTGGGTCACACATCAATGTAGCGTTACGACTCTGACACAGGAAGCTGAAGATGGAGCTTATATTGCTTGGTATTCAGAAAGAAAGTCAGTGGCGTGAAGTGGAGAGGAGCAGTCGACAGCAAACACACAGCAGTGAAAGTGTGTGGCTGCAGACCATTGACTGCTGTGATTGACATCAGGCTGCTACTGTAAAAAGAAAAAGAGGCTTTGATTCAATCAAGTGCTCTCAGCTCACTAGACTACAATAAGTACATTGTTAAAGGACATTATTCAAAACACTATTCAAGATAGCAGACGCATTTTTATCTTTTGGACTCAGTACCAGAACATGCATGGGGCACCTGCTCTACCAGATGTGCTAAAGTGGCGCTCTCAGCAGGAGCATTTTAATAGTCACAGCTGCAGAAGGTGTGCTTAAGAAAGACACTGTTAGCATGTTGCCTAAAAGCTAATTACAGTCTCAGATGGAGTTTGTACAGGCCATATACAATTATAAGAATTAGAATTCTGTGCTAATCTCATTAGCACAGAAGCTAACATGACTTCAGTCATGCTTGGATTACACAGAGTCCATTTTTACTCACAGTTTTTCTTACCATAAAGGTAGATGTTTGTTAGCAGGCTGCGTAGACGCTAACAAGAATGTTGTCCCATTTGGAGTTTGCAGAGTCAAAAGACAAACTGTCTTATAAAGGTAAACATTTGTCAGAATGCTGCCTTGAAGCTAACACCCCCACAATTTAGTTTGATTCCATGGTGTCAAAGATAACTTGCTGCCCTAATTCGGCGCTTGTCAAACTCTTGAGTGTGTTTTATCTTCTCCACTCTTACATTTTTTTCTCGATGAGGAGTTCGAAAAAATCTTCTCACCAGGTTGGTCGGTACGAAACTGAGACATGAAGGGAACTTAGAAAGAAGTGAAAAAAAAATTCTGTGGAGTTGTTGAGTACGCAGTTGAAAATGTACTATATTACCTAGTAAAGAGGGTAGAAACACCCTTGGCTTAGCTCATGCTTTAAAGTAGCATCGTAGCTACGATTCAAGATATCAATGCTTTTCTGTCTTTCTTTTAAATAACTACATTTGCGTATGTAGAGATTTTCTTCCTATTACCTTTTTGTAAACTAATACTAGTTTTTTTACTAATACAACATATTTTTACAGAAACATCAGGATAAGACCTACATATAGTTGGGGATGTGTTTTTTGCCAGCTCTAATGGTATTAATACTGTCACTTATTTGAGTTATATTAACATCATCAGCAGTATAACTAATACCCGCACAGAACTAGAAATAAACGTTGTTTCTATAGCTGATCAAATATAAGAGATGCCCAGACCAGGAAAATGTTAAATGTGTGTCCTTTTCTAGCATAATATACCTAATTGAACATATCGGACATAATCTACTTAAACTGGCAGCTACGTGCTGATACTTCCTGATAAGGATAACGAAAACGTATGGCAGAAATGAAAAGGTATAGAACTGATATCAGGCACACACACCCACACTCACTGCACACCCTTTCTATATGAAACATTCACAACTTCTCCACGTTTTCCTATCTGCTCTTGCAGACTTGTCTGAAAGGCCCTTTTCTCAGTGGGGTTCAGTAATGGAGGAAGCAGCGATCTCGGGGGGGGGGGGGGAGTGTTGCCCAACACTCTTCCCTGAATGTTACTCACATTATACTAAAGGGTTTAGCTTGAACTATTCCAAACACACTTGGAATCATCTTAGGAAACTGCCAGGGCCTGCACATCCCTAGAGATGACTGTGAATAATTGATTTAGACCAAAGAGACGTTTGCATTTCCCTCCAATTTCCATTTAGAGGACAGTCTTGAGGAAGTGATTCAATAGTTGACTAATGCTTGCAACACTGGAAAGTCTTTTTCTCCTGTACAGGTTTATTTAGATTCAAATAATTAAGGTCACATGGTGCAGCAATTACCCATGTGATATGCTAAAATAGATGATATACACATTTTCATGTCTAAGGACCTCCAGCGGGAGATTTTCTGTCCTCAGGAACACCGCCTCAAAAAACATTTTCAACAGTGTCACGGTTATCTAATCAGATTTCACCTCACTCTTACTGAACTTGCAGTTTGCTTAACTTTTTTCCAAAGGCTCAAGTGTCTTGTGGTTTCTCTTTCCGCTGCCTTCAGTGTTTTTTTATATTTCTGGGTCATACGAGGGAAAATAGACTCAGGCATTTTCTGATGTGTCAAAATGTTTCCTGTATAAGGTGTGTAAACATTCTGAAGCTCACTCAGTAGGTAAACATGGCACGCGTTTTACCCTCGTTTCCACAACTTTGATGTTAGCGAGATGGCATTAACATTCTGGAGGGAGAGCAGGCGAGGTGCTTGTGTTCATCAGATATCCCTCAAACCCGGGGGGGTGTTGGTAACACGGTCAGTCTGGCATTCGCAGGAGTTTGTGAGAAAAGAGGGGGCGAATGTGTGACAGTTTCTTGAAGGATGATCTCTCCTGTGTCTGTTCAATATAATTTCTCAGGGAGTGGTCTAAGTACTGTGGCTCTGTAAGAACTAATCAGCATTCAAATAATATAAAACCTGATTGATGCACTCCTAATGGAACATTAAGTTTCATAAAGTGGCCGGGGGATAACCCAACACTGGCCAACAGCACAGCGTTGTGGCCCGATGATTTATGCAAAGTGTTAATTTTGCATCCAAAACTGCTCGCATAGCAGTTAGCTTGGACATTTGCCACCCAACTCCGCTGCAGCAAGTAAATTACCTTTTCAAGACAATTTCTGGATATCTGAAATAGGAAATCTGCTAGCCATAAACAAAAAGTAGCAAGATTGCAGAGAAATTCATGAAACAACAAATAATGAATAAAATTGAAATTATATTTATTTTATTATTGCATGGAAATTAAATGTATTTTTCTTAATGTCTCAAAATGTATTTTCTTAAATTAATAAATCAATACAAATTCAATTACTTTGGCAGGTGTGGTGAGATAAGGCCAACCATTCATTGCGACTGTGATTGATGTAATGCTCAACAAGATAACCCTTTGCTAGACATAATTACAAGGCATTTTGAATTACAGTAGGCTTTTTTTCCTATTCTAACTAAAAAGATTTTACGGTTATAAACACAAGCCAAAACACCTAGGGAGAACATGTCTGGGTCTGCAGCAGCTTATGTTGATCCTGCAGCTTCATTCAGAGGCAGAGGCAGAGGCAGCGCAGCACCCACTGGCACATGCATTATTCCCTCAAAGTCCTTTTTCCGCAGCTGGAAACTTTTAAGAATGGCGGCACCAGTCCAGCCTTGTTTAGTCACGCAGAGAGGCATTATCTGAAAAGAGGAATGATGCCAGTCCTCCCAACAGAGGCTGTCTGGATGTGTAATGAGATTGCGGGATGGTGAAGTGATCCAAGGTACAGTCTAGTCAGTAATGGCGGACTTTGTCAGCATTTCAGAGTCCCCCAGCATTCTTCTTGTCATGCAGACATTTTGGAAATGCATCACCTAACAACATTACCTAGTTGTAATGACGACTTTTAATGACATGAGTCTGTTCAGGGCTTTGTGAAATGACCACATTTGTCTTTTTTGTTTTTCCCAAACAGAGAAGGAAAGCCTTTTCCTCCATCAATCCCCGTCAGTCTCCGGCTCTCTCTGGCTCCATGCTTATAATCCTGGAGCAATGGGCTCGCAGTATGGGCCATTATTCTCTCCAATACTTTTTCTCTGTGTTGGTCAATAGCCATGGATGTAGTCAGAATTGAAAAGGCTGATTTGTTCCGCGGAGGCAGACGGATCTGAGCACAGGGGCAGCAGCACATCAAGATCTCATTTTATGGAATTCGATAGCTTTCATTTCACAGAAATGACAAAGAAAATGTACTCATATTTTTCAATTACGGATTGGTTTATTAATGTGTTGACATCATAGACTGTATATATAAAGGTTGCCATCCATTCAATTTGGACGAATCCAAAAAAGTTCTGGCATAGCCTGACATGAAATTGGAATCTTTTCTCCTTTTTTTTAATCTGAGTGCGAAACTGTGCTTTGTCCTTGTTACAATCTCGTCAAGCTTTTTTCTCTTTGCTTATCTGAGCATGTGAGCATGAGACTTGGCAAGAAATAAAGCAAGAGGGTGAGAATTTCAGATTTTTATGATTGCTGTTAGTTGAGCGGAGATTAAGGGTTTCAAAATCTGTCATGTCAAGTCCTCATAAGAAATCAAAGGAGCGCAAAGGCCCAACCCCGTCATATCCATTTAATTTAATTTAGACTTATATACAATTGTGTTTTAAGTAATACAACAAAAAATGGAAGACTTAAGCATTCATTCTCAAATCCACCAGACTCCGATCTTACCTGAATGTAAAATGATTTACCTTAGGCTGCTTGAAGTGGATGAAATGTGTGAATTGTTGAAGAAAGGAAGAAAATGGAACAATGTATTTTATTATATAAAGCTTAAATATGTTAAAAACTGTGTTAAAACTCTGAATGCCATAGTCATGTATCGTATAGTTTAATGCTTTAGCAATATAAACAGGATGTATAACAGAAATCCTGACATGGGTGCTCATAAAGACCTAAGTACGCACTTCCTCTTTCGAGGAGATGAACTCTCTATGCATTTCCCCTTTCGAGGAGAAACATCTGTTATGTATTTCCTCGCTGGAAGTGAACAGTTAACCACAGCAACGAAGAAGGACACCTCTAAACGCACCAGCTTGCACGCAAAGCATGTGACAAACCACGTGTCAGACCATGTGACAAGCCGCGGGAAAGAAGAGGATAAAAGAAGACTGAAGAACATCGGAGAGCAGTTCCTCTTTGAACCCAGTTCGAACTTGAACTCTCCTGCTTTAGCAAGCCACGGAAGACGATCGTATACTTACTCGTATTGAGGCAAAGATCTCGGATATAATATGTATCTGGGCAAAACGCATTTCATTTTTTATTGATGTGTGGTGCTATAACTTGTGAAACTTTAATAAAACTACCTGTTCACATTTGTGAGAGGAAACTAAAGTCCATGTAGCCCTTCTGATTATTGTTGGATAAGTGACAAGTCAGATGGCAAAGTAACCTGTTCCCACGCAGCTTGAGTCCTGAGTCCAGTTTGATTCCAGTGTCCTGTTCCTTGGCTGAGGATCAATCCCTGACGGAGTCTTGCAGAGACACCAGAGAGAACAATAGGTAAGTCGCACCTAAGATAACTCTGTTGCTGGATTCTATGTCATATTGGAGGTCGCCACGATCGATTGATCTTAAATACGGCAGCAGTGCTTTACGGGTATTGAATCCCAAGGTTTCAGAGGTGTGTTCATTAAGGTCCGTGTTTAAAGTCTAAAGGGAAAAACTAACTGGGTAAAAGTTGTAATGATGTGTAAAACTGATGAATGGAGGTAGTATAGAAAGAAGGGAGTTTGTCGGTAACACGTGGTGGTGTGTGGGTCACACCTTTTATGCCCGGTCTGAGTAAAAAAATGATTTAGTAACACAACAAAGTCTGCCGCTAAAAGAAGAAAACATACAAAGGCAACCTCATGGTGAGGCAACGGACATTCGCGGAATAATTCATGTCCCCTATAACCCAAAACCCCTAGGGATTGGCCCGGAACCACAAAAAAGAATCTTGGAGAGTATAATAAAGAATGCCATCTCAATTATAAGTCCACAAGAACCAGTGCTGCTCACTCGTTTCGGAGCAGGCAATTTTGGATATGATGAGGATGCCTCGTTTATGGCAATGTTTGCGGTTCTCAGGGATAATGTAGACAGACAAATATACTGGGTGGAAAACACTCCAGGAGGGTACGCAAGGGCAGCATACTGGCTCCTCTCAGGACAATACAAACAGTACTTCCTAGAGTCAGGCCTAAACATAGATGTACGGGAATTTGATCCGCAACTAGCGCTCCTGATGGATAATCTAAACATGGGATATCCAAAACGTACAAGTGTAGACCCGACAGCAAGGCCACCCCCGTACAATTCACAGACAGGGATAAACCAAGGAAAGCTTAAATCCAATCTCACTCTTAACAAACATGTTAAGAGGAAGTATGGCAATAGTAAAAAGAGGAACTGAAACCCCACCGGCACCTCCATCAACCCCGGAACCTCCGGAAAGTGATGGGGCCCCAGCGGGCCTTCCCCAGCCACAATCATTACCCACAGGTACAGGCACAGGCCTACCCAACGGGAACCCCAACCCAGTAGCACCATCACCCCCAAATCCTCCTATAGGAGGCAGACCCCCAAAGAAACCAAAACCGGTTCCCCCACAGAAAACAGGGGCATTACATAGGGGTCCCATTATAGTAGGAGGCCAAACATTTTATGTAACAACGGCCAAACCAGATGAGAGGCCCTCAACCCAGGGGAAAATAGTAACGTTCAGGATCCCAGAGCAATGATTGGAAGACCAGGATCATGAGTCAGAAATGAGAAGGATAGCTAAAGCAATAGTAATAAATATGCAGGGGAATGAAGTACATACAAAGACATGGAGACATAACATGGCTGTCATGCATCAAGATGCTGTAGAATGACAAGCAGGGTTCCCAGCAGAAAGGGCAAAAGGACTAGGGCCACAGTCAGGATACAGACTAACATACCCAGAGCCAGACCACAAAGCCTTCACCAGCTTCACCCAAGTACAGATACATGTACTGGGCAAAAGCCAAGGAAGAGTGAAAAGTATGGATCTGCAGGCTTTGGCAAAAATGATGCAGGAAGACATAGATGACCTAAATGATGACCAGGAAATGAGGGGAATAACATTTAGGTGCAGAACTCAGGGAAAGAAACTAGGAAGCTGGAATGGAGAAAAACTGGTCAGCTGGAATCCATTGCCTACCATGGGATTCTCTCCCCCACAGTAAAATCATCTACATTCTGGTAGACCTGAAAGATGAGGAAACAGCAATAGAAGCGTTGTTCTCATCCTATAAGGAATTTATGGAGGATGAGTGATAAGTGATGAGGAGGAACTAAGACGCCCAAAGCCACAAACCCCAGTGGAATCAGGCGACAGGGAGACAATAGACAGTGCACACGCAATCCTAGAGGATAATGGCGGAAATAATCAAGTCCTACCTATAGAAGGAGAGACAGAAGCCCAAAGACAAGGTAGAAATGAACAGAATAAGAATGTTAACCGAAGTCCTTGGCAGTCAGGTGAACGAGAACCAAAGACCAGGAAGGGAGGTAGTAAGGTTGAATTTTGACACCCCTGACATCCGAGCACGCCCACATACTACCCCAAGCAGGTCATATCCCCCCCCCCTCACCCCCGTCACATTCGGCAAATCCAAGGGCCCCCTGGTCTGACCCAATCATAGAAAGTGAACTCGTCAGAGCACGCCATGCAGCCAGTAATTTTGCCGACGACCTAGAGTCCCGGAATAATAGCGGACGGCAGCTGAGAAACCAGATAAGAGCAACTGAGAGGTCACCAAGGCCCGCTAGATGGGAAATTAATGAGCCAGATGTGTCCCCCGTGGCTCCAAGCCCGGAAAGACATGTAAGGTTCAGGGAAACGGCTAGGGCCAGAAACAAAAAATCAAAACCAATTCCCCCTATGAGACAAAATAACATAAACACCTGGCCTCTAGAGGATGAGCCTCTATGGACATCAGGAGGAGAAGAGGAAGAGGAAACACAGTTCAGACCTAGGTGGTTAGGAGATGAGGAAAAGGAACTGCCTAAACTGATAGATTCAGCGTGGTACAACGCGAGTATGGAACAAAGGCAAATTATGCCACAAACAAGAACATGCGCAGCCGTACTAGGACAGGCAGGAGTAACTCCCAGGTGGAAGATGATGCACCTGGGAAAAGGTTATGATCAGTTCAGGAACATGTTAATCGATAGGGATCAATCAGTACAAAACTATCTAGAGGGGATGCAGTTTGGTGATGAGCCAGACTGCCCCCAACCCATAGATAGAGCAGAAAGAATCTTTCCCTATCCAAACATGGGATATCCAAAACTTACAAGTGTAGACCCGACAGCAAGGCCACCCCCGTACAATTCACAGACAGGGATAAACCAAGGAAAGCTTAAATCCAATCTCACTCTTAACAAACATGTTAAGAGGAAGTATGGCAATAGTAAAAAGAGGAACTGAAACCCCACCGGCACCTCCATCAACCCCGGAACCTCCGGAAAGTGATGGGGCCCCAGCGGGCCTTCCCCAGCCACAACCCATAGATAGAGCAGAAAGAAACTTTCCCTATCCAAGGGCAATAAGTACCCCTCTCAGTCAGGGAGCTAGAAGTTTCACCCCTGAAAGCCCAGAAACAGAAGAACGAGGTCAAAGGTCAGATCATACATATGTCAACACGAATAATAAATCTGTGTTGGAAAAAATCCCATCCTTACTAACCATGGTCCCGGTGAGGAAAAAGGGACAACAGATGGGCGAGTATATAACCAGTTTAAAAGAAGCTGGCATAAGTGAGGAAGATTTAGATGGGGACCATATGGGAATGTATCTGAGACTCACAGGGAGTATAACGGCATCAAAGAACAAGAAAATCAGTGAGCTAGCCACAACATTTTGCCTGCCAGGACAAGATCCTGACGAAGGAAAAATAGATAGGCTAGTGGAGCAAACCTGGAATAAGGAACTACCAATAAGAGAGGCTATGGATATCATAGTAGGAGAAGGTATGAGTAACTTCAATCAGGAGAAATTCCTGATGAAGGCACCAGGATGTAAATCCCTCGCAGCAGGCTGGAAAGTGTGGTCTAAAGCAAGGAAACAGGAAAAACAGCAAAGTCCTTAAGAATGGACAATGGAACGCATTTTAAAAACAAAGAGGTTCGGACATTTCTCGAAGGAAATGGTATACGAGCAATTTGGAGCATAGCATATATGCCCCAGACTAACGGAGTTGCGGAAAGAGCAGTGCGAAGTGCGAAAGATTTTATTCGGGCAAATGACGTACGGCACTGGGACGATCCAAATAATCTATTGCTATTAAATGAACACATTAGCATGGAAAAAATAATCACTAATGACCCGAGTAGTGTACCGAAGATACCCACAAATGACCTAACGGTAGGTCAGAAAGTATGGGTAACAAGAGGCCTGAAAAACCAGGGTGTAGGGATTAAACACTCGAACGAAGGCCAGGATGAAATTGTTATGATAAAAGGTAAAAGGTAAAGCCCTCATGGTAATCACACTGAATAACCTAGGACAGCCGGGAGTAACTTGTATGATCTGCTATGTATATTTTACAGAAGGAAGATCTGCAGGGAGGCGTACTCCAGTCAGTATATCATCAACATAAGCTTAACCTCCACAGTTCATCAGGGGAAATAAATATCTGTCCCTGCTGTGATACAGAGGGAACAATACAAGTGTTCACTAAACCAGGAAGCTCAGAAGAAATAATACAAATAGTACAAAGAAAGCAAACTACCTGGAAACCAGAATGGCAGACAACGATACACTCTATGAAGAGATATGCAGTGGAATCAACCCAGACCGGGACCAGTGGGTCCCCATTGAAGGCGATGATGGGATTGAACCTTGGGACGAGGGAACCAAACAAATCTGGACCCCAGAGCTCCTGGCAGAAGGAGAACAGGGATCATTGCCATCATTCCTGTCCTCCCCCCACACCCTTGAAGAAGAGGATATCTCCTATTATGTCGACAACCTCATCATCAACTGGCCAACCTTCCCCGGGCCCTCAGTCACCAAAGTTGTGGACGGACAGCTCGGGGGAAACAAGCCCGATAGACCCGGGAGCCCCAACCCACCCACGGTACCAACAAAAATTGACCACTGTGATGGAGGGACCGAAGGAGGAAAACCAGCAGAAAAAGATATTCCAATACAACTTCAGCCCTTGCAGCCCGGAGAAAATAGAACAAAGCGAAGAGGTACCCCTCATCACCCAAAAAATAATGGACCTTCAGATGCAACCCTATCACCCAGACTTGGACCCCCGTCTCTCCTCGATCAGGTCAACACACTGGCTCAATCCACAAGCCAGGTACCAACTGATGGAGGAAAAAAGAACAGAGGTGGGAAAACCTGTTTTGAATATCCGCCGAAAGAAACGAAGAAATACCCGGGGAAGGTCAAAAGCTCTAACAAAGGTGAGCCACCTAGTAAACGAATCCAAATTGATGGCCCTGGAACCAAGGCCTCAATACCCAAGACAATGTAAGACGCCGCAGCTCAACAACTAGAAGATATTGGGCAAACCCCCCACAAAGGTGAGAAAACAAGTCACCTCCAAATTCACAGACAAAACAAAAAAGCAATGTGACCCAGCGAACGCAAGACGGTGTGCGTCATGGGCAGGGGAGTATGTTGCAGGAGAACCCATAGAAGGATCACCCAGAGTCCCGCCAGGGTGGGTGGTAGCCACATGGGGAGGCGACTACTTCATCTGCCCAAAAGAAAGATGTCCACCATACGGAAAATGGCTGGACAATGAAGAACCTCCCGTGCATATAGAAGTACGGGATGCCTTGAAACCTCTGCTGAAAAAGGTTTCAGAAGAAAATGATTTCCGAAGCCAGAACAACCTTAAATATGTTAAAAAACTGTGTTAAAACTCTGAATGCCATAGTCATGTATTTCCTCGCTGGAAGTGAACAGTTAACCACAGCAACGAAGAAGGACACCTCTAAACGCACCAGCTTGCACGCAAAGCATGTGACAAACCACGTGTCAGACCATGTGACAAGCCGCGGGAAAGAAGAGGATAAAAGAAGACTGACGAACATCGGAGAGCAGTTCCTCTTTGAACCCAGTTCGAACTTGAACTCTCCTGCTTTAGCAAGCCACGGAAGACGATCGTATACTTACTCGTATTGAGGCAAAGATCTCGGATATAATATGTATCTGGGCAAAACGCATTTCATTTTTTATTGATGTGTGGTGCTATAACTTGTGAAACTTTAATAAAACTACCTGTTCACATTTGTGAGAGGAAACTAAAGTCCATGTAGCCCTTCTGATTATTGTTGGATAAGTGACAAGTCAGATGGCAAAGTAACCTGTTCCCACGCAGCTTGAGTCCTGAGTCCAGTTTGATTCCAGTGTCCTGTTCCTTGGCTGAGGATCAATCCCTGACGGAGTCTTGCAGAGACACCAGAGAGAACAATAGGTAAGTCGCACCTAAGATAACTCTGTTGCTGGATTCTATGTCATATTGGAGGTCGCCACGATCGATTGATCTTAAATACGGCAGCAGTGCTTTACAGGTATTGAATCCCAAGGTTTCAGAGGTGTGTTCATTAAGGTCTGTGTTTAAAGTCTAAAGGGAAAAACTAACAGGGTAAAAGTTGTAATGATGTGTAAAACTGATGAATGGAGGTAGTATAGAAAGAAGGGAGTTTGTCGGTAACTCGTGGTGGTGTGTGGGTCACACCTTTTATAAAATTCCACATCAAATTCCAATTTCATTGCAGCAAATTAAACATTCAAGATATAAATATGGATAATTCCTACTAGGTATTAAACCTTAAACACATTCAACGTGTGTCTCGCTGCTCTCCTCGTCCCTGTGATCTCTTCGCCTGGATTTTTGCCTCATGTCCCTGACGTCTCCGTGCCAGCCAGCTTCCTGCCTCCACTGCCGTTTACTGTGCCTCTGCTAAAAATAAACTTTTTGTTTTTGACCATCTCTCTCTCTAAGTCTTTTGCTTTGGGGTCCAATATCTCTAGGCCGTAACAGTTCATAACAACTTGCCGCCTTAAATTGGGGCTTTTTATACTTTGTGTGTTTTATTTTCTCCATTCTTCTACCACAGAAAACTATTGCCCAGTGCTGCAGTTCCTCTCAGCTCTATGGAGAGTTTTATCATTTATCAGCTCATTTTGGTTTTGTTTCTGGCAAATGTACTGTTTTGATTAACTGTCACTGATATCACCAGTTGTTGTTTTTTTAGACAAAAAGGCCTGCTGAATCAATCAAGGCCTGCCAATCACCAAACAACTGACAGCAACTAGAGCATTTTAGAAGGCTCTTGAACAAAACATCCCTTGGAAGATTGAGGAGACCAAAACAAAGTCAAAATGAGAGTGAAGATTAACCAGACACATCATCACTTTAAATTAATGCTAATGACTTTGTGTCTGCCTGATGTCTAGATAAACAACATTTTAAAGTCAGAAGAATGTATGTTGTTGTGTTAACAGTTAGCTGCACTTCCCTCAAAACCATTACATGTTGATGTAAGGGAAAGCAGAGAATAAGATCAAACACTCCTGACAAAAACACAGAATCGACTACAAGTCTTCAAGTCAGGCAAGCCAGCAATGATTGTTCTGCTTTGCTCAAACAACAAAATGGGTCCTTTATTTGTCATCATGTTCAAAATGACCTATTTTGCAGCACAAGTAGTCCTGCACTTGAATCCACAATGAGTTTTAGGGTTGAATTGACCCCTTCCAGTCTTGGAGAGAGAAACTTATGAGCAGATGAAAGCAGCAAAACGTTTCCGCCAGAGTGCTGCAGGGGGGTGCATGGTGAATGAAGGAAATCTGGGACTTAATGAGCGAAAGATTCGACTCTTGACTCAACTGTGTAATCATTTGGCTTCAAAACTCTTTGGAGTGATTTCCATTTTTGCACTTTGGGTTTTTAAACTGAACATGTTCAGGTCCACTTAATAGATTCAGACTGGCACCTGCTGAGTTAATGTGGACATTTGTTTCTAGGTGTACTTGATGGTAAGTATAAAATAACACAAATGTGCATTTTATATTCTACTTACATCATTACCAATTCAAATTAAATTGTGAAAATATATTTTATTCAGGTGGATATTGCTTAGTTTTCTTAATCATCCTCTCATCTGCAGCCACAGCAGCATTTAGTGACCAAACATCAGAGTGAGAAAGCGTGGCCATAACGATCAGTTTCTATCTAATACCAGCCTTAACAACAGCTCACCTCTCACACACAACGGAGAGTGTACAACCAGAACCTGAGAGACCTTAGCCTGGCAGGGGGCAATCATTAAACATTTCCAGTGACAAAAGATCCTGTGACATATCGGAGTCTGAATACTGCAGGTACTGAGTTGTGAAAGTGGTCTGACCTTCAAAGTTCCATCCTGTTGAGAGGGCTTTAGGTGGATGCTCTCGTGGATAAAAGGTGGCCCATGTCACCCGAGGATACAAAGTTGGTTGTGCCCTTTTTGTGTCTAGCCAGCGGTGGTTTGACACTGCTGACACTGTTACATAGACCAATGGTCTGTGGAGCAGTAGAAAATGCCAGCCAGCACAATGCATTTTTTATACGAGGAGAATAATAATACTCAGTGGCCGGGTTTATTACAAGGACTTTATAACCAATTCTGACATTGAAGTTTATAAATAATCTTTCCGGGGCATGAGTTTACTGGCATATTTTAGGAGTAAGGCCCTAACATTTCCTGGATGTTTTTTTATATAAAGATGTTTTACCCTAAGCACATACACCTGTCTGTTTATTTTTTCGCTGTGTGTCCAACCCATAAACCTTTTTTAGAGTCTCTGAAAACCGTGCTTGCTGCAGATGAAAAATGTGTCATGAGAGCGATGACAGTGAAGCAAAAGAGATAGAAGTGTTAGCCATGTAAAGTGTATATCTTATTATGACAAAGTTCCTCAAAACAATTCCATAAATAGAATAGATGTGAAGATATAGCCAGGACATCACTGCATATGTTGGTGAAATGTTGTGTTATCCATAAAGCAGGAGTATTTAAGAAATCATTTAAAGACAATTGGATGGATGGAGGCCCCATAGTTATATTTCATTGTAGGGACACTGTTTAAAATAAATAAAGGAAAGACATTTTTGAAAGCTGCCTGACAACTTCTTTTAAATATATTTCAGGGGATTACTAATAAGGCATCTTATGATATGATCCATTCAACATTACTTTACATCTCACCGCCAAATGATTGGCTAAACATGTACATTGAAATGTGCAACAGTTTGTTTCCTCAGATAGTGGTTAATGATTTCCAACCTTCTTCTTTCTGTCTCACGATCTATAAAATACTTGTGAATCACCTCAGCTGCAGATGCGGGTTTACGTCATAGAAAAACTTCAAATAAGTGCCTGATCATCAGCCATATGGAACCATTGTTGGATTCATTTTTTATCATAGCCTCGGCTCAGTGGGAGGGAAACCATACACCATATGATCAGCAATCCCACTTTGCGGTCTAACATCGGTGAGTAAGTGCACGGGGAGAGAAATTGAACAAAAAGAGAGACAGAAGAGGAGGGAGGGTGGATGTGTGTTATTATGCGGGAGGGATTGCCTACACACATACAGAGTGTGTGTGCAGACTTATGTATGAGAGAGACAGAGTGGCGGGCGAGGGAAACAGAGGATATCAGATCCACATAGAGAGCTTCCTTTCACAAAAAACACTCCTCCACTGAAAATGGAACAACTGGATCGCAACGCGCCCCCGTATCCATGACCAAATAAGAGCGAGCGAGCACTTATTGTCTTTTAAGGATCGCGCTGACCGGTCATCTTGTCATTTTACAAGAGACACGTTCATATTTTTTAGAGTATTTCCAAATCATTTGTGTTAGGTGTAGCTCGTCGTTTCTGTGGATTATATGAAGGTGGTTGGATCTTGAAGACGGAGTGCGTCAAGTTAGCGCACGTATCCAACAAGTGGATGCATGAATTCGCTAGCAGCAGACTAAAAACGCAAACAGCCGGTGTCTTGAAATCCTATAAATCTGTGTATCGGTTGAAAAGTAATAGACTAAAAACCTACGCTTATTAGCTCAGATTGTCAAAGGAGATGAATGTGTTAGCGCATAGTCTGAGCCTGAGGTAGTTTTTGTTGTATCTAGTGACTTTGTGTCAAGACATTTTAAAGCAAATAATCAAACTGCAATGAGGTAAGACATTGTTTTTCTGCTCTCCAGTCATTGACCAAAAGCAAGATTTCGCTGCGGTATCCACCGTCTCCCACCTCACCCCTCTCCCCCCATCCATGGACTCGCTTTTCCCTTCCCTCGGTGACCGTGGGGGGAAGTTGGGATCCTCTCTTTAGACATTTCTGTATGAGGAGGGCGCAGCTGGCACCTAAAGGTCGCAGTCATGCCGATGCACCCAGTCTCCTCCACGTTGATGTACCGGGGGATCTGCACCATCCCTGACCTCCTCGCCTACAGAGCCCCGCCGAACCTGCCCGAAGACGAGATTGAAGGTGAGATGTTACCTGTTCCCGTTTACCTGAGGGTGCGCACGGCTTGTTAATTGTTTATCCACAGCATGCTCATGTAGTGACAGTGTATGTGGTGGGGCTCATTCAAACAGATCAGCACCTTGGACAGTGCTCAGAAATCCAGATGTTCCCTCTTAAACAGACCATTTGCACATCTATGTTCACAATGTCCTGATCTTAATATATGAAACAGAGTGTTACAATGAGTCACCCACTTTGATATCAAATATGTGTTTACATTTCTCATTGATTGGACATATGGGTTCCTTCCAAAGGTCATATGCCCTCAAGGTGTAGCTGATTTGGTTAATAACAGAAAGCCCCCCTTCAACCTGTCTTGCCTTAAAGTGTTGCTTCTTGAAAACAGCAGTGATGCATTGGCTGTAACTGGAAGCAGAAGCTCATAACAGGATATTTGGTTCAAGGAAGCTTGATTTTCCCATTGGGTCTGGACACAAATACTTGTTGATGGTCCAGAAAAGTTTGATAGTCCATTTTATCCAGTCAAATATTTGTATGATTCAACATCTCTAGATTAAAAAGAAGTTGTCTTAAAATGATCTTTCTCTTAATACACCTTCAGCATCTACGGCACCGCAGTGTCACCTATCATCAAAAAGAATCACCCTTAAACAAGCACAACACTTCTGAGAAATGAGTTTGTTTACGCATCCTGAGAATAATCAGGCCTGCAGCACAGGGATGTGAACCTGCGACATCTGCACATTATCCTGCAGTGGCCCCGGGACACTGTTCAAGTCCCAAAGCAGGTGATATGACAGGTTATTGCGCGTTTGCAGTGTTTTGATTGCGGTGACACTGTAAGGTATCCCTGGTGAATGATCTGTCCACTGCAACTCTCATCCTTGGTACCGTAATAATGCACACATTGTCTGTGAATAAAACACACTTTGACAGATTGCTCTACTTTGCTGGACAGATTCAGAGAGATGAATTTGCACACATGTCTTTCAAAGTGGTGTTTTTCTTTTTAGGCTCTGACTGACATGCATTAAGTGTGAGTTACAGACAAGCTGGGTCTTGTGAGAAATCTTGTCAGTGAAGGCTGGTGCAGAATTTCCCCGGGGGAAAAATCAGAAATGAACTGTAAATTGAACCTGGAGCTGCGCAAATTTGAAATTACACAGACACACACTCCTTTGTCTCGCACACACTCATAAAGAGGTCTGCATCTGTGGGGAAAAGGTATTAATGGTTGGTATGAATTAAAACAAGCTGAGGCCAATTGGTTTTCAGCAGAAAAAGAAGAGTGCTTATTGAACGGCCTCAATGCATTTTGCCTGTTTCAGAACTAACTCAGCAGAGGAAACACCCAGAAGAAAACAAGAAAGGGTGCCCAATACACAAGGCTGTTTTTAAGTACAAATGTGCCTTTTGGTATTTTATTTATTTATTTTTCGTTCTCTTTCTTTGGCAACAAACACACTGAGCCTGTGATGAAAGGGAAGTGTCAACATGTCAGTGCCAGAAGTGATCTTTACACAATGTCATGCCCATGATTACAGCGTTGCATCACTCAGGCCTTTATTGTCAAACTTCATTTCCAGTGCACAGAGTCCATGCATGACAGAAATGTGTTTTGCGCACAGCAGAAGCATGGAAAGAAATATGGATGTGTCCTATTTCCATAATTTGAAAAATTATTGATATAATATTGATGCTTTTGGTTGTTTGGATTGAGAAATGTCAGTTTCCTCTTCACTCTCCCACTTTAATTTACAGACAGCTTTGGGGTGAAATAAACAGACAGCACTTCATTTTGACTTCAGTTAAGCCCCTGTCACACTGTCCCGGAATTGACACCAGAACGTAAGAGCTTGTGCCTCTTCGGGGGGTGCTAACATTTAAACATACACTTTATTCTTTACTTTCTCCGTCTTTATATGTAGATTAGAAGACATTACTTATCTCCGTCATGTTGTTTCCATAGCAACAACAACTTCCTGTCAACAGCGTAAACTCGCCTTCAAAACAAAAGCATCTAAATAAAACAGGAAGTTAACCTAAATGACATTTAAGACATACAACTGCAACGGAAGTAACAAAAACAATGTAATATCCTTTTCAGTTTCTCAGAACACAAATTGGGTTATTTACATAATATGTTTACATGATTTTGTTGTGCAATAAATGCAATCTCGATGTCATCGTACTATATTACGATGGCTACACGACGGCATTGCGAGGGCTTCACGTAGTCGTGTTGCCTTCCCAAGACAATCGGGCAGCTTCTTGTTTCCTTCGTATTGTCTTCGTGAGGTGGAAAATGCCCGATGGCACCGATGATCACACGAAGTAAAGACGAAGAAGACACGATTTGACAAGATGCACTCACGCTGGCCTTACGAAGGGCAAAATGGTCACACGAATTCAACACGAAAATGAACCTTCGCAAGGTCCTTCGGCAATTTTTTGGCATGCCAAAGATTTTGCCACCGCTCACGAAGTTGCTGCCGGAGCCTGAGAAACTCCACCGGCGGTCATACGATGGCTTAAGATGCCCTCACGAATGGCCCAATGTTGTTACGATCAGAGCCGAATTTGAACATTTCCTTTACGTGTGTCCATCTGGTGTCAATTTCGGGACAGTGTGACAGGAGCTTTAGTCAAATCCGCTTGCTGCAGTCACTCTGGTGCAAAAAAAGTGAGCCAGTGTGGCTTTGCAGCTCAACTAATATACAGTGGCAGTTTTGACTGGAGTAGAGATGGGATGCTTTGCGCAGAGAACAGGAAAGCCCGGGGTAATGCACAGTTAACAGCAGCGACAGAGGCTTTTTTCAGCTGTTGCAGGGCATTAGTGATCCTGCTTGACGGATGTTTTACAGGTTGTGTAAGAGGTAAGAAATGAAAGGCAGAGGAGATTGAGTGTTGTTGTTGTCAAGAGTGTAACTGAGATTCACAGCTTTTCCTGCCATAAAGGAGACAATAGGAACAATTGATTTGGTTGATTACTGGCTCAACATCAGAGACATAAAATACTTCGCTATCTGGCCAAGATTTGTGCTTTCAAAACGAAATGTTTTATCTTTTGGAAACACTCCTTCCTTTACCCTTATCTTATTTTCAGCTGCTCAAAGATGGAGGAGTGCTACAAGCGAGCAGCTGGGATCATAACGCATTTCCTCCCAAGCATTGCATAATACATTCAGTTTATTTTTTTTGGACTTCAGATTAAGAAAATGTTACTCTGTCCCTTTAGGTTATTTTATAAGCTTCATACTTAAGGATATTCTAATTTATTTCTTATGAAGAGGCTCTTAAACTAACTGTGTCCAAAGTGAGTAAGCCTGCAATACTTTTGCTCTGGGTCAGCTGTAAAACGTAATTAAATATCATATTAATATGCTCCATGGTGTTGATAGTTAAGCAGCATTGCCGCAGCAATCCCAAATTATTCTTTAGTATTTTAGAGTTATTGGAGTTTTATAGCAGAGCGGTCTAGGGAGATGAAACATTGCAATCTAGGATAACAAAAATATATCCTTCTTTGTGTTTGAATGACTTCTAACCCAAACAAATTGTATTCATTTATAGTGCATATAATTAAGAATAAAACACAAATATTTCCTAATTGAATGTACCAGCAATGCTTTCAGATCTTTTCCACACAAATGTGTAAGCCCTGTAGGCAGTAAAGCGAACCAATTTTAACTTTTCCACATAATGAGATTTTATAAGGTCAGAAAATAACATTTAAAGAGGGGACATTTTGCAACTATTAGTTGTTAGTTGTGCACAGACATCAGTGTACTGTAGGTCCTCAAACCAATTTCCTGGATACTGTAAAGGTCAATAAGTTCTAACTTGTTATTTGCATTCATCAATCTCAAGTGACTGTGGACGGGATTTAGTCTGCAGTGACGTTTGACTGCTGTAGCGTCAGTCCGTGTCTCGTCGTCGCTCGCATCTCTTGAGAGACGGACAAGAATTGCCTGGGAGTCTGAAGTGTCACATACATCAGCTCAGCCGTCTGGGAGACAGGGCTTTGTCACCAAACGAAATTGCACATTAGTGAATATGTGTGTGTGAGTGCAGGTATAGGGACAGAAGGCTCAAGCCTTATTGGCACACATAGCCAAGGACTTGATTTTCAATTACTGCCTTTGGACAGCCCAGGGATTAGACCAATGGCACCATACCTTGCGACTCTGAGAAGACTGTCGAAGCTATAATTGGAACAAAATGCTGTTTTTCTGAGTGTGTGTGTGTGTGTATGTGTGTGTGTGGGTGTGCGTGTGTGCGTGTGTGTGTGTGTGCATGTGTGTGTGTGTGTGTGTATGTGTGTGTGTGTGTGTGTGTGTGCCTGCACAAGTACCTGAATATTCGGCAATGCGAGCATAAATTGACTCCATATTCTCCATTTCCCCTCCTACACAGAGGGACGGAAAAAAATGTTTGTCATATTACAGGAGCTTAATATAGTTTAGACCTCCTCCACCAGTAACACACACACACACACACACACACACACACACACACACACACACACACACACCACACACACACACACACACACACACACACACACACACACACACACACACACACACATACACACACACACACAAAGCGCAGTGTCAATATCACTGCAGGTGGAATTAGGTGGGAAGCCCATTTCCACAATGCCTAACAACAGCCATATTGGAGGCAGCTTCAGAATGGTCCCAGGGATGAGCCTAAAGCATTTGTAAAGGGTCCCAGAGTGAGGCTTGTGTAATCAGACTACAGAAGTTTCCTGTACACACAAAGCAGAAGATAAGGCTGGAGCAGAATGGTTGTGATCACTGCGTTTTGTGTATCATTTCGTTTAAAATCTGCTGTGGCTTGTAGAGAAGCTCAGGAAGTATGAGGCATATTCCTGTCTTTTGTTGATTTTCTATGTCTCAATAGGAATACTTTGAATACACCTCACCTCAAGCCAAAACCACTGTTGTATTAATTTAGAACCTAGTGTGAACACA